GTAAAACGTATGTGCTTGGTACTTACTGGCATCCTTTTGATGCCTGGGTCAGACAGATTGGACGAAAGGATTGGGCTAAATCAATGATCACCTGGAACGTCATGTAATAAATGACACGCTAAAATGGCATTTGTATGAATCCTGTGTCATCGACGCGGCAGGTGCATCGAAAAGTTGGTATTTTGTCATTTAATAGTCCAATTTTTTAATTACAAAATTCTTATTCTATTTTCATAATATTATATTATATAAAGCATAATACATATGGTATAAGCACTATGACATGTTATACGACTTATATCGTTAAATCATATCTAAAAAGATCGTTGATTTGATTCTGTACTGTACTTTGTAATCGCTGACCACTTGTGTATTATCCATTGTTTCTTTTAGAATGAGAGCAAGTTAATCCATCAGTCACACTGGGAACAAGAGCTAAAAAATCTCACTCATGTTTAATCCTAAATTTCACAATTGTTGCTTTCCAAGAGAATTACCCCACGTAGCCTGATAACAAAGATGACGATTTTGTCGAGTCATTCAGTTTGGGGTTAAGCTACATTGGCAACCACTCACCCTAAATACTGGATGTCACATCCAGGCATCACATTCCCAAGCATGAGTGCACGTTAAGAGAGTGTTACACATTGGTATGTGGTTTTAGCCGAAATGAACATCTTGAAGAGCGTTCGGCACAGTTCACAGCCTTGCCCTTCTTAGAATCCAATCCCCTCTAGTGTCTGAGCTGAACGCCTGCGAACATGTGCAGACCATTTTGTGCAGACTATTTCAGGTCACCCAAGCATTCATGACGTCATAGTGATGTCATTCATGTCCTACAATTCCCTTTGTCATGCGGTGATCAAGGCCAAAACAAATGTAACTGCCGGGTTGTTCATATCTGACGTTCGTGAGCACGATCTCCTAATACAACGCCCGTCAATTGGCTGTCAGTGTTGTGCAAGGTACGATGACGTAATCAAACAGTGACGTATTGAGAAGCATGTTTGTTAAACAAAGAATTGTGTTGTTTAGAGCAGTCTTCTCCACTTAAAAGTACACAAATAGTTATAAATGAACTTATTTCATCGTATCTGATGCTTGCTTCAATATCTTCAAACATGGAACATTCCCTTAAGGATAGCGGCTGGACACGCCAGGACACCTACCAACAACGAGTCACCGGCGCGATTTCGTCCCCGGTAACTTTATTCACAGATTTTTTGTTCGGCTGCGCAGCGCTTCATAAAGCGCACCAAGTGATACGGCCACATGAGCTCACAGTGTCCAGAGCGACAGCCAGAACCCGAACTCCGTGGCCACATTGAGGCTCTAACGCCGACTAATAAACTACAAATAAGCCAAATAAGCATGTAGAATATCTCAGCTCTACCGCGCGCATGTTTCCGCCGCACGAGAGCCGTGGTTATGTGTCCTCACGTGCAGTTGGTGTCCGCCTCCACATCGTCGGCCAGCATCTCGTCATCGGAGCAGTTGTTGCGGGGGAACACGGCGTTCAGCAGGCGACGAGCCCGCGTCAGGTTGAACCAGTTCTTGTTGCACACGGTCACCGCCGGGAACTGCGACAGGCAGCACGGTGTCAGGTGAGGTGTCAGGAGAGGTGTCAGGTGAGGTGTCAGGTGAGGTACCAAGTGAGGTGTCAGGTGAGGTGTCAGGTGAAGGTGTCAGGTGAAGGTGTCAGGTGAAGGTGTCAGGTGATGTGTCAGGTGAGGTACCGGTACCAGGTGAGGTGTCAGGTGAGGTGTCAGGTAAGGTGTCAGGTGAGGTGTCAGGTGATGTGTCAGGTGCGGCGGTTCAGGTTCAGGTGAGGTATCAGGGGAGGCTCCGGCGGACATAGCCGTAAGGTGCCGCCGGGGTCAGCTGGAGTTAGAGATCAGCCGGGACAGGGATGTGGGAGCTTGCGAAACGTTGGGGACTGAAACACCATTTGAATGCAGTCTTTGCCATTCAAAGCATGTTGAATTTTCTCCTAGGTTTCAGGGACAGGTGCTAAATTCCATCAAATTTTGGGAATGTTCCCCTGCCCCAGGGTCCGCAACCTTGGAGGAATCACGGGTCTGACGGCGATCAATCACAGCCACGTGCAACGAGTCCGTTCCGATAGCTGAGCTGGTTACTGCGCCTGTTTTCGATTCACCAACCCGCGGTGAGGTGAGCTCTAGGCGCTTTAGGCGCTCCTTACTTGTCCGTGACTGGAATGGCCTGCGGTCGGTGGCATCGGCCGCGCGAAAAGGTCAGGTGATATCAGAGGGCAGAACGGATTGTTCCGAGTATTGGGACACGTTGGCTTTTGCCCAAAAATATGTCGTTAACCTGGAATCGCACAATCAGATAATTGATTTAGGACTCACGCAGCACTCAAGCACGGAATACCGAGGGGCTGGTCCCAGAAATCCACCCGATCAAAGGGTTTGGTTTAATCATAAAAAGTTCGGGGTTGACGCGGCTCACAACCAGCAAGCGATCTCCCGACTGGCTGTTTTTCTGACTGGGTCTCCGCCTCTTCAGTGAAGGACGAAGACACGTTTGAGAAAGTTAGCAAAGCCCCTACCTCACACCCTGCCCGCTACGTTTGTTTTGCTACTTCTGGCAATGGCAAGTAGTCACCACCACCGCGCAATGAAGCTAAGCTTTAATGCCCGCGCGTATGTCTGCGGTAGCCTCTGTCGTGTCCGAGCTGACCTGGCCTGACCTGGCCGAGCCGAGCCGAGCCGAGCCGAGCCGAGCCGAGCCGAGCCGAGTCGAGCCGAGCCGGGCCGAGCCGAGCCGAGCCGAGCCGAGCCGAGCCGAGCTGAGCCGAGCCGAGCCGAGCCGACCCGAGCCGACCCGAGTCGAGTCGAAGCACGCTGAGGCGAGGCGTGACTCGCCCCACCCCCGGCTCGGCACGGCACGACAGCCGCCGGCCGCGGCTCGATACACACCAGAGCTCATTACCTAAGTGCAGCAGACACACGACCTCGGCCCACTGGCGGATCTAAGTGGGCAGACCTCGCGTTGACTCGTCCTTGTTCCAAGACGGGTGCAAAACCATCTCTTTTCAACGAGTTCTCTTGGAATCATTCGTCTTCCTGGTGCACCCCACAGACCATGCCCTCCGCGCCCAGGTTCCATGCAGGGTTCGCTCCTGCTTCCGCCTGTCTGTGTCTGGCGCAGAAGTCCAGTGTGCGTGCGCCGCACGTGGTTCTAGGTAATGCCGAGAAGGGGCTGACGGGTTGAGCCGTGCGCCCCGACAGGTCAACTTACGAAGAGAGTAAAATTCGTCGGCAAACTGGTCATTAGACGATTGCGGACGGGGCCGGGGTAGTAGTGCGTGGGCGTATTAGCGCCGTATGCGTAGACTATGGCTCTGGATTTGAGTTAAATACACTAGGCGCAATAGTACATCACGGTTTTGAGGGATGTAGGAAAAAAATAATGCAAGCGAGGAATGAACGCGATGCGGGAGAGCTGTCATAAACAATTTTTCCGACCCCAATAACATGTTTCGGTTAATTTCGTGCCCTGTGCGGGTCTTCACATGTGCTTGACATCAAAAATGACTAACTGCAAAGCCTACGAGATTGTTGGCCCGAGGCCCGTAAGTTATGACTTTTGGATCAAACAAGGTCAAATGAGATTAAATTGCAAAGAAGCGTACAAAGTATCCTCAGATCTCCACATGCAGCCGTCTTTACCTTAGACATTTACTCGAAGCAAAAAAGTCACTGGCGTTTATTTGAATTATGTGACCTTACTTGACCCTCAAGAGCTCACGGTGATCGAAAACCTGCTAGTCTGCCTTCTTTCTCATTTGCATGCGTGTCAAGGATTTAGATTAGGCGAGGTGGTATATTTCAAAATGATGGTTGACTGAGGTCATTTGGGATCAGTGACCTCCTATTACCTTTATAAAGTCCAAGCAATAGGTCTATTGATGACTTGTGACCAAAGCATACGGAATGAGCATTACATACGTCCCATCACGCAAATTCTCCAGTAAATAAGAACAATTTTGCTTTGACTTTAGTCTGGCCTTCATGCCTGACCCAAGGTCAATGGAAGTAGTCATAATCCTGAACTCAATGGTCTTGTTTTCTATTAAACTTTTAGAGATGTACATGCTTCCGTCTAATACTCCGTTGTCACAACAGATTAAACGATTCCCTGGGAATTACGTTCCCTGAGAGCCATGGCCTGACTTCGACCTGTCATAAGCCATCGACCTTAAAGGTAACGTATCTTAAATTGCCTACAGCTTTACAGCATTTGGCGCGGCTGCGTTGGGCCGTTCGGAAGTTATCCTGGAAAAATCTTGCGGGAGTCAAACCGACCCCCACCCGACCACGTTCATGGTACTCTGGCGCATGATGACCTCTGAAAGGGCGTCCAGCGACACGGCTTCGTTAAAACACCGATCATATGTTGATGGTATTTGGATCAATAGCCGGTGTCTAGACTAAACGAGTATGCACGTATTTAAGGCATGCACGCCTATGATTTCGGGTTGCTCAACACAAAAGGCATACGACTTCACGCAGGTCACAGAAATAGCCATGTCTGCACTATGTATATGCTCTGTGTTCGCCGAAAGTCCTGTATCATGATTTAGTAATTTAGACTACGAGAACCATGTCAGAACACCAAACAATGAGTAACACAACATGCGAAGCCTTCGCCCCGCGGCTGATTCATAGCTGGGTTTCGGGCTAATGATTTGGTATTCGGTGAAGGTGGTATAAATGTCATCAGCTAATCTAAGCTTAGGTGCTGTACTCTGAAGCTTGTGATCATCACGTCCGAGGTTGCCTGAAGCACGCGCACGCTTCTGGGTTTGCTACTCACGACTGGGCGATCTGAACAATCAAAAACAGAAACAACCTTTATTTAGGAGTGGTTTTGTTCAAGACAATGAAATGACGTCAAAAGGGGTTTGCAACATTCAGTGACTGTTTGGTTCAGTGCACTGGACTGCGTGGGTGACGCAGTAAATGGAATCAGAGCCTTCGGAGGCGCTATGGCCGACTGAACCTAGCAACCATAGAGCCACTTATTCCACGACTTATTCCAACTTTGTTCCAACCTATTCCAGCTCCTGTCCAATCAGACAATTCCTACGCACCTCGTGGCGTGGCTCTCAAACCAACAGACAGACAACGGCGGTTCCGGCTTCACCCAGCGTCTAACGATGACATCACGGGATCGCGTGACTTGGCGGTAAAATCGCCGGATAACTGCATCTGGTACGCAGGGCCTTGAGCTTGGCAATCACCCAACGATTGTCTGAAATGCCGATGACCGAAATTGCGATACGCATGCATTTTACTTGTGTCGTACGTGTGTTACAAAAGTGACATCCCTATGCATGGGGTCCGTCGTTGGATGCATGTGGGAGTCGTCGTGCAATTCGTCACCGTCTAATTCAGCTAATCCGTCATGATATGCATTAAAACGGGGACTTGATAACTCTAATTTCGTAAAAAGGTATGCATAAGCAAATTTGGGCATTGACAATATTCCCAATGCAACGGAATCCAATCACTGCCGGCAGACAGGGACAACCAATTGATTCTGCTCCCCTCCCCCATAAAATGCTGCATGCACGTGACTCCGCAATAGAATACTGTGACAATGCCGCTATAGAGTACCGAAGATGTGCGGCTAAACGGCGCCGGGAGACGTCACGTTAAACAAGCCGTGGGAGCGTTCGTGCAGGCTCGCATGCGACACTAGATGCAGTTTGTGGTTTACATAGGCTGTAAGCGTGCTTACACCTACCCCCAACAGCGCGTCATAACTGAAGCAATATGTAGTGTGGCCACTTAATGGGATCGCGTTATTATGTGCCTCTACTGATATATCTTCGGGTACGTATGTTGGGCATCATTATCATCCACGTTTATTGACTCGTGGGAATGGCGTGATGATCCTGGGCCGGCAGCCACGGAATAGAACAGCTGGGCTCGTCCCCCGGGTTCCGCCGAGCACTTCCCGTATGGTATGGCGGTGGAACTGGGAAACGCTCCCCGCTCGGGGCTGGGAACGCTCCCCGCTCGGGCGCCGGCGGACCTGTGGTGCCCTGCACAGACGACTCTGCTAAATGTAGTGACCATGCGTCTGGGGCGATGGAGGTTATCGCCTTTGGGTTCCGTTTCTGTGAGCACACCTGGAAGAGAGTATGTCCTTGAATCCTGTAAAGTGCGGGATGGAAACGCACAACGTACAACAAAACGGAAGATGCAGCCTCGTTGCCTCCATGATTTCAATTACTTTTATTGATCCGGAATGCATATAAACAGCAACAGGTTGGTTTTGACTTCGGTCTAACCCTCATACCTGACACTTGGTCAATGGAATTTACTACTGAAGAAAACTACCTCGGAGACGTATGGCTTCGTCTAACACTCAGTTGCCTCAGAGTGAACCTAGAAATTGCCTTCGCTTTCAGTCACGACCTAACTTTGCCCTGTCATAGGTCATCGACCTCACTTGGTGCATCCAATCATTGTATCAGAAGTCACCATTCAATTGCCCACGGCTGTGAAAAGTTTGGCGCGGCTGCGCCGTATCCTTTGGAAGTTATCCTGCAAAAACCTTTCAAGGGTTATATTGACCCCCTCACCCGACCGCATGTTGAGCCCGCAAATAAGTGAGAGGTAGCCAAGTCTGAGAATGCAACTCAAGCTTTCAACCTGGCGGTGAAATGCCTCGAGGGTACACCATTTTAAACGGGTGTGGAAGCGGATGAGTCGTGCCGAAGCGCAGCGAATGGTGGGTAGATGTGGGTATGGCTGTACAGAAGCACGATGGGTGTGGATACGCAAATATTACTCGTGGCAGGTTGCACAGGACGTCAAGCTGGTGATAACAGAAGGAGACGTCTCTCGGCGCTGCCTCTTCAAAGCGTTCACTCACCTGCAGTGTGCTATTTCGGTGGACCTTGACCTCGACCGAGATGGGCTCCTTCATGAAATGGCGTATGCGCTCCACCACCTGGCGGAAACACATCATGTTCATAGCTTTTGTCATCTACATCTCGCTAGCGTCGCAGGTCCTAAGTTTTGGCCCGAACACGTGATACGCAGGTGAAGGCAAATGCGTTTGGTGTCCCAATCTCACGCCCGTTGTTGAGACAGTATTAAAGGTGCACGTCGTGAGCGATATCCCAGAGCGGCTTTCTCGACCGGCTAGCGCGTGGCAATGACAGCCCTGACCCAACGGCCGCTTCACATACACTCCAGTGACTTTCAACCCAACCTCGGCAGCAGCGTCCGTGCCCATTTGTGACATCTGCCACGGTGCTTAAATTGGATGCAAAAATCGGGGCACCAAATGCAACTGAAAATATTACCCTTGTTTCTTAGTATCTTAGGCAGGATTTGTGAATCGAGTCCTTATATATAAAAAGCCTTCAGGGTTAAATAACAAAACTTCATTATACCCATTGGCACCTGTGGTAACATTAAACACATCTGTAGGTCTTTGGGTGGGTCGCATGCTACTGCATGTGCTTGTGTTGTTCTATTTGCATTTTGTTTGTGTCGTGCGAGTGTGTTAAACCAGTGCTATAGAAGCAATAATAGCAATCAGGAACAAGACAAGCGGGAAGCCATGGTCACCCCATCTACGTTATACGTTTAACTATTTTATTAAATCCGTGTACGATGTTACGCAATCCAAATGAAGGGTGCGTGCGCTTAGCCATCACGGTGCGTGCCGTATCTGGTATGCGTTTTTTGTTGTTGTTTTTGTCGCCTGACGACAACGCTCTTGGCAGTTTTTCCCCAAGTCATTGTGGTTTGCGCTTCGGTTGGACCCTTTCAAACCAACTGATTTATCATCAGTCATTGTAACATCGAAAATAAAATTCATGCTTAACTTTTGAATGTGACCTATTTATTCAACAATGACAAAGCATTCATGTCATTGGCTTGTTATTTGCTTATTGCATACGGTAACCAAGGACACATATCGGACATGAATCAGTCATGGAAACCACGGAAAACTATGTGGGTAAAGAAAACCATGCAACAACTTACTGTGATGTTAGTCATCGAACATGTCGATTGATTTCCTATGCCTGCATTGCAAGTCTACGATGAATTTGTGACCCATTTGCGATTCGCGATCGATTTGCCACATCCGATGCAAGCCGATCAGACTGAATGACCTTTTACGTGACCCAAAGGTCAAGAAAACATGACCTGCGCCCCGTCTTGATTGGAAATACCTGGGCGGCCAGCAGGGTAATGCAGACCACCAGGAGGATGGTCCAGCTAACCCGCCGCCATTTGCTGCACTCCTTGTCGAAGATGACCTCCGCCCCAGCCATGCCGAGCGGCCGTCCGTACAGCAGTGACGTCACTAGATCACTGCCCTCACAGCGCCGCGGTGACGTCACTGGTTCACTCCGTGCGGCACCAGCTCCCGGTCACTCTTGAGGTTTCGGGGGCAGGAAGGGGTGCCACCGAATGTTGGCGACCAAGTGAACTTTGGTCTGTTCAGGTGCAGCCTTTGAGCTGAACCTGAAATGGTTCAGTGCTAGATCTGCGTGCAGGATGAATGTTCTAGTGTCATTTCGGCGGAGCCTTTTACTACCCAATCTGTCCAGAGGTCATGTCACGTTACGTCGGATTTATGGGATGTTCTGTGTGCCAGCTGCTGGAAAGCGATAACATCTTCACTGTCCCACTGATGTACAAAGGCGGCAGCTGACTTGCCCTGGAAAAGAAAAATAGGTTATGGGCATTTCAGTCTTGATATGACATGTAAAACACTTCGTACCATCTGACCGTTATATCTTCCGCGTGTCTGGTTTTCGTGGGTGCATTGGACAAAGACACACGAACGGAATCATTGCATTACACATCTGACATAATGATGTTGAGTTGATCGGTTATCGGTCGATCAAATGTGGTGCATCAAACCAAACCCAAATAATGTATTAAAAATGTGTAACGTAACACACACACACACACACACACACACACACACACACACACACACACACACACACACACACACACACACACACACACACACAACCACACACACACACACCCACACACACACACACACACACACACACACACACACACACACACACACACACACACACACACACACCCACACACACACATACACAACACACACACACACACACACACACACACACCACACACACACCACACACACACACACATGCGCGCTCGCACATATACACACACACACACACACCACACACACATATATATATATCTATATATATCTATATATATATATATATATATTTGCGCTTTAAAACTGTATTAAGCGCTAAAATGATTTACTCTGAGCGTGAAATGCTGGCGTGATTGTATAACAACCACAGCTTCACGGAAACATAGGTATGTGTGACCGTGCGCCCGTGCGTCCACCTCTCTCTCTCTCTCTCTCTCTCTCTCTCTCTCTCTCTCTCTCTCTCTCTCTCTCTCTCTCTCTCCTCTCTCTCTCTCTCTCTCTCTCTCTCTCTCTCTCTCTCTCTCTCTCTCTCTCTCTCTCTCTCTCTCTCTCTCTCTCTCTCTCTCTCTCTCTCCTCTCTCATCTCTCTCTCCTTCGCTCCCTTTTCCATGGAAGAATGAGCGGTGATTCATTAGTGTATCCCACTGATTATCATGACGTGCGATAAGTGATCCGTTCAGACCAGCTGCGCCACCATAAGTGCCCGAGGCCATTTGTCTGCTGCCGGAGGCAGAACCGATAACTTGTCCCAGCCTTGCATTGCTTTGTGCCACAGGGCTGCCGATAGTCATCCAGCTCGCCATCTGTGGTAGCGCTTCCGCGTTCGTTTGGCGGTGCATGCTGTCAGCACAGGTCTTAGCGGCAGGCCTTGCTGCCCTGCAGAGCCTTAGAGTGCCAAGACATCGATGCACTGACTGGTGGGTGTTTTGGTGGGGTGTACTTACTGGCGAACTTAGTGAACGTTGGATGAAAACCCGATCCTGGTTACCACGGTTGGGTTTTGATTTTAGCAGGAGCTTCTGGTAGCGGCATCGGGTGAGCAGGCACTGAATGTATGAGGTATTTTTTGTGGAATGGGTCCGGCTCATTTGAGCAAACGGCGCTAAATTTCGCAAATTTGACGACATGTCAACCGGAAATGCAACGGAGAATTTGGCAAAACTGTCCTTAAGAGCTTGAGTCCCTTGAGATGTTTTGATAAGATTACATGATGGTAATATAAGCCTCAAGGTGGCTTTCAAAATCATCTTCATTTTCTTATCACTTTGCCACATGCGGCTGTAAAAAGTTATGAATGTGATTGTCTGTGACAGGGTCCAGTCTAACACGTAAACTGTGGGTGAGAGGAAGTCACCACCACTGATCATCCTATTTCTGCCTGGAAGCAGCAGAATCCCCATCCCTTTCGCCCTCCAGTGGACTGTACAATGCCCGCAGCTCCCGCACAGCTCTAACCTTCGTCACGCTATATGCAGAGACTGTGAGGGTCATATATGCAGAGACTGTGAGGGTCATATACGCGGAGACTGTGAGGGTCATATATGCAGAGACTGCAGGGGGTCATATTGCTGTCGTGAGGCAGGTATTGGTTGATATAAAGATAAAATAGAACACGAGAGTACATCACTTTTTGATTCGTTTCCCACGGAGTGCGAAATCCCGTTGGCTGGAGTCTGATTGCCGTATAAAGGTGCAACGATTGGGGCAAGGATATCACCAATAGGTTTCTTGGTGTCACCAATAGGTTGGTGGCGATTCTTCTGAACGCCGTGCTGATCTGATCAAGTTCATGAACTCTGCGAAAGCAAGAGAGATAAAACATCATACAAAATGTGACGAGCCTAACTGGCGGGCCGGCACAACAGGGAAATACTAACATGCTGACACGCTCAGCAGAAAAAGCCGACCAATCTAAAAGCCTCTCCGTCTCTGTTTGTCTGTCCACCAAATCTGTTTGAGTTACGCCGGCAAAAACCAACACAGTGTGACGTGGAGCGGGTGACTCACCGGAGGCAAACACGTGTGGAGCGAATAGAGCTTAAATGATATCCCCCCACCCCCACCCCCACCCCCACCCCCACCCCCACCCCCACCCCCCATCCCACGTTCAACAAATTTCCAAATCGCCCATTTTGGGGGTGCTTGCATGCTGAAAGAGACATTTACCACCTTTTGGACAATTTTGATCTTTTTGGACCATTGGTTAAGACGCTCATGATCCACACGCACCAATCATGCTTGCTTCCGGTGCATCAACCAGGACGCCGACGACTGACGTGCTTCCTATCCGAGCGAGAGAAGCACAGGTGTATTTTTTAGCTGTCAACAGCGAGCAAAGAACAATACTGAATCTCGTTACCGCTGGATCGACGCTCATAACCCACAATCCTCATAGCTGTTTCCTTCAATAAACCATCAAAGCTACGTCGACTATTGTTCCTTTGACTGCTGTCTGATTTAAGACGTCGTTTTTTGCATCGTGCCAGCAGACGAACATGATTTAAGTTTGCCCTTTGCTTACACTTGGGTAAAAATAGACTTCACAATTTCCATGCTCCTTAGCTATTTATACCAACCAGCCGATTGACGTCTAAATAATCTTGCTTGAAGTTCATTTATATGTAGATCGACTAGCGTGTCCATTAGTATACTTTGTATGTATCGTGGCACGGGCATGTGATTGTGTTTTTTTTTTGCGTGCTGTCAGCCAAACATGGATGATTGTTTGATTTGATGACAGATGGGTGACAATACTAATAAACCACATTTCTACTCCTGTTTGCCTGTGATAACCTATTATGCCGCGTTGAATGAAAGGCCCTTTGCCTTTTTATAATATTAAATATAATAGGACTGCTAATATAATATGCATAATATATTTGATATATCATAAAAATAATGGGGGTTCTGTTGCCGTTAGAATGGACCCAGATAATTTTCGTGTGTCGGTAGCTTAACAGAATAAATATTACGCTTTGATTACCACTGGGTCGCGAAATATAAACTTC